CATCTGTGTGTAAGCCCCTGACAACCTTCAAAAACCTCCTAACAACAAAGGGAAATGGTAAAGGGACGGTATCCGCAATATACAAAATACTACTCCAAAATCCCACAAACCCCCTAGACGCAATCAAAAAACAATGGGAGAATGACATAGGCTATGAGATTAACCCCACTCAATGGACCAGAATGTGGTCTAACCCCCCCTTTAAATCCATATCAGTGAAAAGAAAAGAACTCACTCTGAAACTCACCTACAGGTGGTACCTAACACCAAGAAAACTAGCACTAAAACACCCAGGAACCTCACCAAAATGCTGGAGAGGGTGCACCTCCACAGGCACATACCTCCACATGTGGTGGGAGTGCCCCAAAATCCAACTATTCTGGACAACAGCCACACGAGAAATATGTAAAATAACTAAGCAAGTATTAGACATCACCCAGAATTGGCCCTACTAAGCATCTTCCAAGACAACAATGCCCATTTACACCACAAAGAACTCACAACCCACCTACTTTCAGCAGCCAGAAACACCATAACCAAACACTGGAGAGACCTGTCAGGAGTAAGCATGGACCAATGGTACCAAATAGTATGGGAAACAGCCCTACTAGAAAAAGTAACCAATAAACTGAAACTGACAAGGGGACAAATAGAAGAAGACGCCTTCATCCCGGTATGGCTCCCCTTTATCACATACACAGCCCAACAAGACAATGACAATAATCCACAAACAGCACACAAATCAATATGGCTAACCTGATCCCAAACACCCACCCACCCCACTCACACACGAAAACAAAGATCACCACAGCCAAAAAAAGAAGAAGAAAAAGTATTGGGCATGATGCTCTCTTTCCAAAGTAGTTCCGCCCCGCCAGCTTTGATGTCATAAAGGGAATAGGGTGGGTTGATATACCATATTTTTCGCCCTATAGGACGCACCGGCCCATAGGACGCACCTAGTTTTTTGGGGGGGAAATCAAGGAAAAAATTTTTATTCCCCTCCCAGGTTTGCGCAGCCATCCCCAAGCTAGAAGAGGGAGACGGAGCGCTCCGTCTCCCTCTTCTGCCTTCAGGGACAGCCTCCCTAGCCTCTGTGGGGCAGCGGCTTGCCCCGCTGTCCCCCGAGCTTGTGGGGCTGCTGATGGGGAGAAGCAAGCTTGCTTCTCCCCCCCGCCAGCCTCCAGACCAGGTCGGGAAATAGCGGGGTGGTGGCGCTGCGCCTCCCCGCTGTCCCCCGAGCTTGTGGGCTACAGGCTGCTGCCCGTATGCCTTGCGAGCCCGCGGGACCATCCCGCCGGGCTTGCAAGGCTTGCGGATAGCTTCCTGAAGCCTGGAGAGCAAGAGGGGTCGGTGCGCACCGACCCCTCTCGCTCTCCAGGCTTCAGCGAAAGCCTGCATTCGCCCCATAGGACGCACACACATTTCCCCTTCATTTTTGGAGGGGAAAAAGTGCGTCCTATAGGGCGAAAAATACGGTAGATATATTTAATGATGCAACTTACAAGTTGAATATCCATTTAGAATTCCAGCACAGCTAATCCTACCTCGCCCGCAAAATAAACATTTTTTTAAAAAAGTTCATTGCACGATGCTGCCCATTTGAGTGTCTGTTATCTCCACCTCGAAAGCAAATGCAACTCAGCTTTCAAGACAAAACGAGGATGATTTGGCTTGAAAGCAGGGCTGGGTTCATTGGTGGCCAGGAACAATGTTTTTGCAGTTCGCCAAAGTCCGATAATGAAGGCAATCAAGCCCCTTTGCTTCAGGCGGTAAACCGATGCTCCCAGTGAGAGACCTCATCACTGGGCGCTGTTATTGGGAAACGAATGTGCTTAAAGTATCAGGTATTGGTTAGTGCTTCAGGGCAGGACTCCAGGTTTGATTACCCAGTTTTCTGACTCAGTGAGCAGGAAAGCTCTACCTGCGCTGAACCAGAGGAGAAAAGCACAAAGGTTTGGAAAAAAGAAAACATCACTTTGACGATGCCGCCGTATGCCAAACAAATAAGTAGCTTGAACACGAAGAGCTCCTTTAGAGTGTTTTCTTTGTTTTATATAATTTTCCCTCTGAAAAAAGGGACAACACGGGAAATGTGTTGATGGAAGAGAACAAAAACACACTTGGGCAGTTAATTCCACCGCCCCTTTTGTTGTTCCGCCATCCAGAGGAGTGGCATTTGCTATCGCAGGCTCTTGGCCAAAGCCATTGGTAAACCCCATTTTCCTCCGGATAAAATCATTTCAGATTAGCAGCCCCTGCGGTGGCGGCAAAACTGTAAAACGAAGCCCATCTTGTGTGTTATTGCTTAAACTATTCAGGTATTCTCTTTCTTGCATGTACTGCGAAGGTGCTCGCGGCAGAAATTCAATCTCTTTTCTAATTATTATTTATTTGCAGAAGTAGCCGCAACGGAAAGGACTTGGTCGCTTTCCAGATATTCATAAAGAGGCCATCGTTCCACATAGGCTTAGGTGGCTTGGGATTTATTTGTTTAGATTGGTAGCCCTCCCACCCCCAAAGGCTTGGGGTGGGTAACAGAAGCCAGAATCAACAAAATGCAGCAGTAAGTCTTTCGATTTGTTCATGCATACTGCATTGGACGCGGGTGGCGCTGTGGGTTAAACCACAGAGCCTAGGACTTGCCGATCGTATGGTCGGTGGTTCGAATCCCCGCGGCAGGGTGAGCTCCCGTCTTTTGGTCCCAGCTCCTGCCCACCTAGCAGTTCGAAAGCACCCCTAAGTGCAAGTAGATAAATAGGTACCGCTTCATAGCGGGAAGGTAAACGGCGTTTCCGTGTGCTGCGCTGGTGCTGGCTCGCCAGAGCAGCTTTGTCACGCTGGCCACGTGACCTGGAAGTGTCTCCGGACAGCTCTGGCCCCCGGCCTCTTAAGTGAGATGGGCGCACAACCCTAGAGTCGGACACGACTGGCCCGTATGGGCAGGGGTACCTTTACCTTTACTGCATTGGCCAGGATAGGCAATACTGGTGTCTTCCAAATGCTGTCAGAATCCCATTCCCATCACCTGCAGCCAAGATGCCCAATGACTGGGATTGATGGGAGTTATAATTCAAGAATATATGGAGGGCACCAGATTGGACACAATCTGACCCAGGGGGATCTGACCCTGCCTCAACCTGATCTGGCCAAATCCTGAGTTGATCTGAATCTGCAGCGCAGGATTTAGGGCAGTGCAGGCGGTTCTGCCACACAGGGTGCCAAGCTGAGGGGGTGAAACATTGAGAAGATCCATAACTGATAAGATCAATTTTTTTGCTTTGCCGCGCAGGGTGCCGTGTTATGAAATATTACCCAAATCCGCCCCTGAGTGCAGGATCCGGCCATATCTGGGACACAGCCCTACTGTTTAGTCTCTTGGTTGGTTTTATTGTGGCAGAAGGAAGCCAAACTGATGTGATGGGGATGGTGGTTAGGGTGATTTTTCTGTGCATCTGCAAACTTGTCCTGTATTCCACTTTACTGAGGACAGTTCTCTATATGAAGTGCTGCCTGGTCCAAGTCTGATATATAAATAGAAATAGCCATGGCTTAGGGTCGTCGTATTTATGGGACCGCCTCTCCTGGTATGCCCTGCAGAAGACCTTAAGGTCCATGAATAACCATAGTTTAGAGGTCCCCGGCCCTAAGGAAGTCAGACTATCCTCCACCAGGGACAGGGCCTTTTCAGTGATGGCTCCAACCTGGTGGAATGCTCTGTCCCAGGAGACCTCAGGGCCCTGCAGGATTTAACCTCCTTCCATCAGGCCTGTAAGACAGAGCTATTCCACCTGACCTTTAATTTGAATTCAGCCTGATCTTTTATTTCCCTTCTCTTCCTTTCCCCTCCCCTTTTATGAAGATCACCTGCTCTGAGACCCCACAGCTAATTCTCCCCTGGCCTCCTCCCTGGCCCAAGTAGGACCAATTCAGCCAGCTAGCCCTGGGGATTATCTAATGCTTATTTCCCCTGAACTGATTTCTGAATGTTGAATTTTATTGTTATTCATGTTTTTATACTGTATTTTGTGCTGCTTTTACAATTAAGTGTTTTAAATTTGTTGTTAGCCGCCCTGAGCCCGGTTTTTGAACCGGGAAGGGCGGGGTAAAAATATATTTTTTTAAAAATATTATTATTATTATTATTATTATTATTATTATTATTAGAGACCCGCAGGAGCTATTCAATTTGCCAATCAACTTGTGAGCACTGAACTACAGGCTGAGAAGGCACACACAGATCTCCTGAGGAGAGTCTCGCCCCCCAGTAGGGTGAGATCCCCACCCTATTAAATTACAGAAATCAGTTTGCAGAAATTAGCATATCTAAATGTTATGAAAATGTGCTTTGCCTTTGTTTTGGGTGAAGCATACATAGTCACCCTAACTGGGCTACAGGTCTCTACTTATCATATCAACCTACCTGAAGCTTTTTGATTCATTTCCTCCACACCCAAACATATTCCCAGTTCAGCAACCCCCGTCTAGCATCAAGTGGATTGTTTAGCAAATCATTTCATTTCCTTGCCATTGTCCAAAAAGGTAATCAAGTATATTGCATACAATAGTTCTCTGTAGGAAGGAAGCCGCCCCTCCTCATTTCTATTCATATAAATTTCATATATATTACTTCCCAAGCATTTATAAATATTAATACAGAATGCTCAGCAAGAACAATACATAACAATAATGAGAATCGCAAAATCCCATCCTATTGATTCTGGTGTCTCAGCAGCTTTAAGGATTAGCAGGTGAACTTTGGAGTTAAAATATTGCTTTGGGGGAAAACAAAAAACAATGATAATGTCGAAATGTTAAAAGAGGGAAATAAGGCCCCTGAGTTGAATTCCCTGTGGCCTTGGATAAGGTATTCCACCACGTCTAGGAATAGCTGGTGCTGAGAGATCAGAAGCTACCCATGCTATTTCCCTAGAGCTATTTCCCTGACCTTCTCCAGCCCCTCCCCTGCCCCCAGACAAGGTACACAACCCTTCCATGCAAGAGAAGAAGCCTAGCTCAGTGGTAGAGTGCCTGCTTTGCATGCAGAAGGCTCCATGCTCAATCCCTGACTTCTCCAGGTAGGTCTGAGCACTGTTGCCCATCAGTGTGGACATTGTGTTGTTGTTTAGTCGTGTCCGACTCTTCGTGACCCCATGGACCAGAGCACGCCAGGCACTCCTGTCTTCCACTGCCTCCCGCAGTTTGGTCAAACTCATGCTCGTAGCTTCGAGAACACTGTCCAACCATCTCGTCCTCTGTCGTCCCCTTCTCCTTGTGCCCTCCATCTTTCCCAACATCAGGGTCTTTCCCAGGGAGTCTTCTCTTCTCATGAGGTGGCCAAAGTATTGGAGCCTCAGCTTCACGATCTGTCCTTCCAGTGAGCACTCAGGGCTGATTTCCTTCAGAATGGTTAGGTTTGATCTTCTTGCAGTCCATGGGACTCTCAAGAGTCTCTTCCAGCACAAAGTGTGGACATATTATTATTATTATTATTATTATTATTATTATTTAAATTTGTATACCATCCTATGCCTGCAGGTCTCAGGGTGGTTCACAGATAGTAAGCTAGATGGACGCAGCTGTCACAAGAGCTTGCCAGTCCAAAGATGGAGTTCACTCTTTATTAGTGGTATTATTATTATTTTACGGTACATTTGTCTCTCTTCTCTCTGGTGATCACTCGTGGCCGAGTAAGATTGTCTTCCATAAACATAGTCTTAACAGTGAGTCCGTAAGTGACTGTGGAGGCCAATTCTTGACCCACATGTCCTTCCACAGTGGGGACATTGGTTTCCGGGCTGGAGTTGATCAGGGTGTGGATTTGCCAAGCGTGCCTTCCTCTTAGCACGTTTCTCCCTTGCGTCCTGAGTTCGAATGTCTTCAAAGCCCATGACACCTTTGATCAAGGCTGTTCTCCAACTGGAGCGCTCGCAGGCAAGTGTTTCCCAATTGTTGGTGTTTATACTACAATTTTTAAAGATTTGCCTTGAGAGAGTCTTTAAACCTCTTTTGTTGACCACCAGCCTTACGCTTTCCATTTTTAAGTTCTGAATAGAGTAGTTGCTTTGGAAGATGATCATCAGGCATGTGCACAACATGACCAGTCCAACAGAAGGTTGGCGGTTCGAATCCCCGCAACGGGGTGAACTCCCGTTGCTCGGTCCCTGCTCCTGCCAACCTAGCAGTTTGAAAGCATGTCAAAAGTGCAGGTAGATAATTAGGTACCACTGTGGCGGGAAGGTAAATGGTGTTTCCATGCACTGCTCTGGTTCTTCAGAAGTGGCTTAGTCATGCTGGCCACATGACCTGGAAGCTGTACGCCGGCTCCCTTGGCCAATAAAGCAAGATGAGCGCCGCAACCCCAGAGTTGGTCACGACTGGACCTAATGGTCAGGGGCCCCTTTACCTTTACAGTGGTACCTCGGGTTAAGTACTTAATTCGTTCCGGAGGTCCGTTCTTAACCTGAAACTGTTCTTAACCTGAAGCACCACTTTAGCTAATGGGGCCTCCTGCTGCCGCTGTGCCGCTGGAGCACGATTTCTGTTCTCATCCTGAAGCAAAGTTCTTAACCTGAAGCACTGTTTCTGGGTTAGCGGAGTCTATAACCTGAAGCGTATGCAACCTGAAGCGTATGCAACCTGAGGTACCACTGTACCTTTAAATAAGCAAATAGATTTATTCCCCCCCCCCAAAAAAATCAACCCATCCATTACGGTTACAACCAGGCTTCACAGATTGGCCGGTCACCCATGGCCAAACCACCTTGAGCACTGCCACCAAACTGTGGGTCAGGACAGAACCCTGGGCAGCCGCGTCAATGGGTGGCAAATAAGATTGGCGTTGAAACAGTAGGGGGAGCAGACCCCCTCTCCCTCGGCCGAGTTCCTCCCATGGTTGAGGACACACCAGAGGTCAGCAGGGTTAGACAGCAATAACAGCTGGAATGGCAGCCCTAAAGAATGGGGAGGGGACGAGACAAGAGTCGGGATGAATAGCAGCCTGCAGGCCTTTTCATCCCTCCATTGAGAAAATGATGCTCTGGGTGGGACGCCTCCTCTTCCTGCCTCCCCTGCCTGCCCATCAAGTGTTCCTCCCGCCCCGACAACCCATTCATAAAGGGAGAGTGAAGGGAAACAGGGGTCTTGTATTCCCCGCTGGCTCTGGTAATGAGAGGGGAGTGTCTCAGGCCGGCAGCCGGCCCCAAATGTCGCAGGGATGAGTTCGGAGATGTGAGCTCCAGGCCTTAGCAGAAAGTGGGCCGGGGGCAGGTGGCTCAGGCTGGGGAATTGATGCTGGACCCAAAGGAAGATGGGTGGGGTTTTTTAAATAAAATAATCCTGGGAGTGACAGGTGCCCGTTTTATCTACTTCTGTACTTGCACAGTCGCCTGTCAATCTGAATGTGGCTGTCAGCAACGGCTTCACACACAGGAAACACAATAAAATAAAACGGGAAGCAGCCAGTGCACTTTTTATTGTGGGACAAAACAGTTCTTTTCTCCGAAGCTTTGCTACCCCTCCCCACTCAATTTGCATTGCATTCAGTTTGCATTGAAATGGATGGGGTGCAATAATGTAACGACAATGTAATTTCTCTAATTAATTGGGTTAGGTAAAGGTAAAGATAAAGGGACCCCTCACCATTAGGTCCAGTCGCAGACAACTCTGGGGTTGCGGCGCTCATCTCGCTCTACTGGCCAAGGGAGCCGGCGTACAGCTTCCGGGTCATGTGGCCAGCATGACTAAGCCGCTTCTGGCGAACCAGAGCAGCACACGGAAACGCTGTTTACCTTCCCGCCAGAGTGGTACCTATTTATCTACTTGCACTTTGACATGCTTTCGAACTGCTAGGTTGGCAGGAGCAGGGACCGAGCAACGGGAGCTCACCCCATTGTGGGGATTCGAACTGCCGACCTTCTGATTGGCAAGCCCTAGCCTCTGTGGCTTAACCCACAGCGCCACCCACGTCCTAATTAATTGGGTTAGTTATGTTATTTTGCCGCAGCAGACAGCGAGACGAATTATGTGGTTTTCAGTGGAAGGGTGAAATGCAGCAGAATGGAAACACTCCTGAATGTGATAGATACTGGGCAGAATGGGGAAGGACGCCGTCTTACAGCCCTAATCCCAAGAAAGACTGCCTCTCTTTCTCTCTTCAGCACACGGATCACTTTTCTGCCTTTCTGTCAAGGCTTTCTTAATGTGCTCTTCCCACTGTGAGCTAGACCTGCTCTGTCTACAGCCTGCCCCCTTTCCTAAAATGTGACAAATGCGCTGGTCTCATCTTGAAGTACCAGGGAAAAATGGCAGCTGGGACTCACAAGTGCCAAGACATATTTACCCTCCGTGTCCATGTTGAACGATTGGCGTGTGTGTGTGGGTGGGGGGGAATTGCACCTCCCCTCCTCCCCGATTAAAATTCATACCCTTTAACCCGCCGAGATCTCTATCATTAAGGCTGATTCCGCGAGGTGCCTTGATATTCTCAATTATTTGTATGCCCGGGAATCCCAAATAAACATTTGTGAAATTCATTTCGAAAGACGTTAACACTTGTGAAACCTGCGTGCCCCAGAGGGATTAGATAAATTTCCATGTCAAATATTTGAAGCCGGAACACTTCTACAGAAACAGTGGGCTCCCCCCCCCCTTCTTCTTTTTTTGGCCCTGTGTTTTGATGCCTTTCATTTCCATAAACTAGATTACTTTCTGAAATTACTTTCACACAGAGAACAGTTTCTATTGAATTCCAGTCAGTGAGCTCCTGGGAGTGTGAGGTGAATAAAAATATCAGTCGGCCGAGAGTCACTTCCAAGATTCACATGCATTTGAGTCTCATGAAGAGGGCAGCACGAGTTTCAGATTTATATCTTGAAGAGAGTTCAAGAAACGCCAAGAAGGCTGATTGTCTTAGAATAATTGCTAAACAGCCTGCTTTATTGCCTCTCTCTCTCTCTCTCCCTCTCCACTTCTTGTGCCTAGCTAATAAGGACTTGAGCTGTGTATTTAAGGAGAGATTTTGCCAGCACACAGAAGCGATTTCCCCAGGACACATGATCACTGCTGAGAAATGGCAGGGAATGTATAGGCCCAGTCAAAAGCCTGACTTTCCACTGCTCCTGCCACAACAAACTTCATCCAGTGCTTGGAAGATGGCGATGGGCTAGATGCAGTTCAATTAACTGCAGCCAATTCATTTAAGTTTCCCAGTAGTGATGTATGGAAGTGAGAGCTGGATCATAAAGAAGGCTGATCGCCGAAGAATTGATGCTTTTGAATTATGGTGCTGGAGGAGACTCTGGAGAGTCCGATGGACTGCAAGAAGATCAAACCTATCCATTCTGAAGGAAATCAGCCCTGAGTGCTCACTGGAAGGACAGATCCTGAAGCTGAGGTTCCAAGACTTTGGCCACCTCATGAGAAGAGAAGACTCCCTGGAAAAGACCCTGATGCTGGGAAAGATTGAGGGCACAAGGAGAAGGGGACAACAGAGAACGAGATGGATGGACAGTGTTCTCGAAGCTACCAGCATGAGTTTGACAAAACTGCGGTGGCAGTGGAAGACAGGAGTGCCTGGCGTGCTCTGGTCCATGGGGTCACGAAGAGTCGGACATGACTAAACAACAACAACAACAAGCTTTCTCCATTCCATTCTACCAGGCCCTGACATAATGCTGGTACAAAAGGACCATTCATTTCTTTGCTTTCTTCTTCTTCTTCTTCTTCTTCTTCTTCTTCTTCTTTGGCGATCACTCGTAGCTGAGTAAGATTGTCTTCCATAAACACGGTTTTAACAATGAGTCCATAAGTGACTGTGGAGGCCAATTCTGGATCCACACGTCCTTCCACAGTGGGGACATGGGTTTCCAGGCGGGAGTCGATCACAGTGTGGATTTGCCAAGCGTGCCTTCCTCCTAGCCCGTTTCTCCCTTGCGTCCTGAGTTCAAGTGTCTTCAACTTCCACTGTACTCAGGTGGACATCCCTTGCTTCAACGGCCAATTATGAGATGGCACTTTATCTACCTTGCTTCTCTCTTTTTTTCCAGCTGCAAAAACAGAAGGGTGAAGCCATTTCAA